TGTTCCATGTCCAGTTCTGTTGCTTTCTGACCTGCATACAGTTTTCTCAAGAGGCAGGTCAGGTGGTCTGGTATTCCTATCTCTTGAAGAATTTTCCACAGTTTGTGGTGATCCACACAGTCAAAGGCTTTGGCATAGTCAATAAAGCAGAAATAGATGGTTCTCTGGAACTCTCTTGCTTTTTCAATGATTCGTCGGATGTTGGCAATTTGATCTATGGTTCCTCTGCCTTTTCTAAAACCAGCTTGAACATCTGGAAGTTCATGGTTTACATACTGCTGAAGCCTGGCTTGGAGAATTTTAAGCATTACTTTACTAGCATGTGAGATGAGTGCAATTGTGTGGTAGTTTGAGCATTCTTTGGCATTGCCTTTCTTTGACTATAGTCATGGTACCAAATCTGTAATTTGAGTTTTGTAATTACACAAGATTTTGGCATGTATTTCTGTGTGCAGAGTTTCACTGCTTTTGCCTTATGAGGCAAGTTAGAATCCTGGAGAAGGGAAAGGCTACCCACTCCAGTATTCTGGCCTGGAGAATTCCAAAGACCATATAGTCCATGTGGTCGCCAAGAGTCGGACATGACTGAGTGACTTTCCCTTCCCTTCACAATAAAACTCACAGCAGAAAACATAGGCAGAATACTTTCACTTAAGTAGTAGCAATATTTTTTTTTAATCTATCTCTTCAGATTTTTGTTTCTCTTCAGGTAAAGAAAACAAAAGCAAAGATAAATAACTAGCACCTAATTAAATTTAAAAGTTTTTACACAGTAAAGGAAATGACTGACAAAATGAAAAGATAACCTATATAATGGAAGAAAATATCTGCAAATGACTGGGGGGTTAATATCCAAAATATATAAATAGTTCATACAATTAAATATTAAAAAATAAACAACCCAATTAAAAAGTGGGCAGAAAAACCAAATGGACAGAAAAATGGGTATTTTTCCAGGGAAGACATACAGATGGCAAATAGGCACATGAAAAGATGCTCAACATCACTAATTTGTAGAGAAATGTAACTCAAACCACATGAGCTATCACTTCATCTGGGTTATAATGGCCATCATCAAAAATTCTACAAATAATAAATGTTGAAGAGGGTATGGAGAAAAGGGAACCCTCCTACACTGTTGACCAGAATGTAAATTGATGGAGCCACTACAGAGAGGAAGAAAAAAAAACAAAAATAAAGTTACCATATGATCCAGCAATCCTATTCTGGGCATATACCCAGAAAACATGAAAACTAATTAAAAAAGATACATATATCGCATTGTTTACAGCTGCACAATTTATAATAGCCAAGACATGTAAGTAATCTAAGTGTGCATCAACAGATGAATGGATAAAGAAGATGTGGTACATATATACAATGGAAAATTATTCAGTCATAAAAAATGAAATTTTGCCATTTGCAACAACATGGATGGACCTGGAGAATATTATGTTTAGTGAAATAAGTCAGACAGAGAAAGACAAATATTGTATATTATCATTTATATGCAGAACCCTAAAAAATAAAACAAATGACTGTATATAACAAAACAGAAGCAGACTCATAGATATAAAGAAGCTAGTTGTTACCAGTAGCGAGAGGGATGCAGGTAGTGGCAAGATGAGGATAATGGATTAAGAGATACATACTACTATGTATACAATAAACAAATAAACAATACAAGGATACACTGTACAGCACAGAGAATACAGTCAACATTTTATAATAACTTTAAATGGAGCATAATCTATAAAAATACTAAATAACCACATAATGCATCCAAAACTAATATAATATTGTAAATCAAGTATACTTTAATTAAAAAATGTGAAAAGCAAAAACTTTTAGAAGAAATATTTCAATCAAAAAATCTGAAACAGAATAGCAAAATGGCAACATTTACTGACTCTAAGTAAGTTCTATATGTTGTGTGTTCTATAGTTTCATGAATGTTTGAAATTCAAAACTTCCTGCCTCATCTATAATAATTACCCTGTATCCCACATCTTCCACAACATCACATGATGCTGCATTGTCATTTGTATGCCACACCGTCTCTTTGATGCTGCAGCCATACATAAATACATTCTTCTTTCGGGAGTGACCATGATAATCACAATAAACCTTGAAAAGACAATATATTTTTAAAATTAAAATCCTTCAAATTCATGCATTGCCAAGTCAAACTAGTTAGTATGAAGCCAATAACAGGTCTGTGTTCCTTGGTCATTTTATTGTAAATAAGCTACCATTTAATAAGTAGAATTCATAAAAGTAATAGTATATATCTACCTTTGGAAAGGATTTATGATTAATACTAGAATGGCTAAATCCTTGGCAGGCATGTCCTGCATCAAGCCATCAGTTCCACTCTTTCTTTTGTATCTACTATCCATCATTTAAAAAATAATAAATACAATTTTAGGTCAAATCTACAGCTTCATTCATCGTTGCCCCAAGGGTTGTTAAAATACTTACCTAACTTAAGAGAATATAAAAATGCTCTCAAGAAAAACACTTTTTTTAAAGGGGGTGGAGGGTATGGTTTATAAGAGCATCATTTTAAAAATGGAAAACGGTCAGACTTGCATGTCAATTTTGCCACTCTGCAAAATATTCCATCTTTCCCGAAGGAAGATTAAGGCTTAACATGATGGAAACATTCAAAACAAAAGTTGCTGAAAACAGAAGAAATACATATGCACAGGGTCTTCTATCATGCCTATACTACCTTTCCCATGTGATACTCAAGACCTACCATCTTTAGAACTGGCTAAAGAGTTAAAATATAAGCTTCCAGTACTTTAAGAACTTGGAAGATACATACTTTTACCCTCGTGTTGTTGTTTAAACACTGCAATCAAATACCTACAGCTTACAACCAGGAGTGACAAATTGTTCATAAACAATAAAGAAAAATAAAAGGGTCATGAGAATTATAAAAATCAAACCTAATGAAATAAGAATATGGATACACTGTATTAGATACCACAATTAATACACAAGTGACTGATGACAAAGATACTTTACAGAAACTGCTTTTGAAACTAACAATAGCTTTTATAACCAGACAACTATTTACAAAATACTAAGCTAATGATCAACAAAATCACCTCTTTGGTTATACAAACACACACTGCCACTTACCAGTGGTAAACGCTTCACGGCAGCCAGGTACTGTAGCAGGCCCTTGGCATGATAAATTGTAGGGTGTAAGTCTGGATTTGGACTTTGCCACTGTCTATTCAAATCCTCCCCACTTAAGGAACAGCGGTGACTGTATAAACACAACAGTGGATAAACACTGGTATCAATAAATTCTTATGTGCACTCGATTTATTTTATGATTCTATTCCACTAAGTATTTCAAACAGGTGTAAGTGGTGGGCTCACCAAAATGCGTGTTATAATCCTTAAGTAAACATCTATTTAGCATTTGCTATGTGCCAGATAGTGGGTTACATGCATTTAAACTGTGGTAAGCTTGCAGTTTTACAGGTTAAAATTTTCAAGCTATAGGAAAAATTCTCCATTCTGGGGTTTTGTTCCAGACACCATAAAATGTATTCACGGCCATATTTTCCATTCTGACTACATTTCTAATGCTAACATTCTGTACTTTGACTGTATTCATTGTTATTAAACATGCTATCTGAACCCTCCTTCTAAGAAAGATAAGTACATAAAAAGTATACATTCTTAGAAAAATTCAAATACATTTTCATTTAATTGTAGGTTTTAAGTATTAAATTCATTAAGCAAAAATTTAAGCAAAGAGAAGAGGCTAACAGAACTAGAAACAGAATTCTAACTGGTCAATATGTTTCTGAATTAAAACTAGACATAAAAGCTGATTTTACTTCCATAACCATACTATCTAGAAAAATTATTCTACTTTTTTAATTCAAACATTTCCTAAAACATGATAAATATTCATAGTACTCTTACTGAATAAATAAAGTATAGTACCCTCAACTTTGGAGATGCTCATGACAGCTAGACAAAATCCCACTTTTCAGAAGCACTAAAGAGACCCTGGTATAAATAACACAATAAATGAACTCTACTAAACTACGAGCCACCTCCACTTAAAAAGTAATCTTCCCAGTATTTCCACTTTAAATAATTCCTCCTCATATCAGGAAGAAGTTAGCAGATGGAGCTAATTCCATATTAGCAGAAAGAGATCCCAGAAAATTCTAAATCTTAGAACAACCAAGATAATGCCACTGATAAATAAGAAAGGAGACTACAAGAGGATGATGTGTTAAAAATCTTTCTCATATCCTAATTCTGTGATTTTCCTAAAACGATTCAAGCAAAACATACATTTTATGAAATTATATTCTCATGAATAGATACAGAATTTCTCAAAACATATTACTACTAGTATACAGTTTAATTTTCATTTAGAAATTTATCACAGATTAATTCTTCACTAAATTTTGTTGTTCTAGAAAAATCATGAGATTTGCTTTCCAAATTAACCTGGATGCTATTATTTCAACAAGTTTACACAGGACAGCCGCAAAAATCTGGAATTTCTCTGTAACTATTGCTTAACTTACTTTCCATTGATGACACCATCTGGATTTAGCATAGGGACAATTTTAAAAATATAGGATTCTCGTAAACTCTGAGCAGTAGGGTTATTACTCATGAGATACTCCAACGTTCCTTTCATTACCCAACTTGCATTAGTTTCTCCAGGATGTACTCGAGCAGATAAGAAAACATACGGACGATTTCCTAAAGTGTACATAAAATCTCAAATTAAAATGAACAGCTACTAAAGTATGTATAATGTTTGAATTTGGGGCTTTAGAAATATTTCTACTCAATTGTGAATACTGATATAAAATCAAATTAGAACTCACTATGCACCTACTATTTATAAGCACTGCACTAGACCCTCTAGAGAAAACAGATATTAAACCCATGTAAGCCACATCTTATATGAAAATAACACATTAAATTGTATTTGAGTCACTTATTTATTTCCTAATGATTAATCTAAATATAAAATTAATCCTTTAATATTACCTTGATTTCATAAAGAATGAGAAGCTGGTGAAATATAGATGAAATATAAATTTCTCATAAAGTCATGGGGAAATTAAGGAAAATATAATCTTATTCCTGTTTTATAGTCATTATAATAAGCACAGAACAATAGGTATATCTGCACAGAGATTTACAAAGAAACTGAACATTTAGACACATAAGTCTACAAAATAACCACTCAGTTCACCTGCTCACATTTTCATGAATAGCAAATTCTTTCTCTTTCTTGAAAACACCTTATCAAAATTAGAACAGTTCTCTTATATACATATATATATATCTTTTTTTTTACCACAGCTGTACATTTGAGACAACTTAAAAACTATAAATGAAGGGGAAAAACAAGTAGCTATTCATTCAATATTAGCATCAAAACACTTGGGGGGTTACTGATGGTTATATCTATAAATAAAATTAACTGTAAATTCTTAAACGGATGGTATAACTTGTTGTACTTTGAGTATGACTTCTAAGAATAAGAACTATGGTGTATCAATATCAGAAGAGACCTTAGAGGTCACCTCAGGCAGCTCCCTCATATTCAAGATGAGGAAACAGACGCCTAGAAGAGGGCCCCAGGCTAGGCAGTAACAAGACCCACACTAGCACCCAAGGCTTCTGATGCCTACTCCCAGTACTACTGACCTTACAAAATATTCATGAAGCAAAGAAAAATAAGTAATAAGGATTCGTACTGCAAGTGAAGAAGACAAACTTACTGAATTGACAGATGTGTTCATAATAATTAGACTCTGGCATCGCTGTTATAGTCACCAATGGACAGCTGTTTCCAGACAGGGTTTCACATAACACATCTTTTCGGAAATAGATTTGCTGAGGATTGTGTGCTGACTCCAATTTTTGAAGATGCATCTTAATAAAAATTTAAAAGCAAAGTATACAATCATTTAAAACCTCCCTATGATAAACAGGAATAAATGCATCCAGATCTCAAACAGAACTAAAAGTGAATCAGATCAGGTTCCTAATCCCTTCCCCAAAACCCTCAAGGGTCCAGACGCACTTGAACATCAGTATTTGGGGAACCTGAGAAAGGGGACAGATACGGTTTGGATAATGTTAATAGTGCAATAAAACCAGTGGAGCTGGCGGCAGCAGCCTGTAATCAGCACGTTATTATTTCTGCAGCAAAACCTATGAAGAGTCACTCTAAGTGGAATCAATATTCTAAATAAGCTCACATCAGGCCAGGCTTTGCTTACAAATGGGTTATGAAAATACTTTGGGTTTCAAAGCCTTCTGAATTTTGAAATTTTGTGACTGTAGCTCTGTTAATAGCAACCTAAAACATGGAGAATGAAAATCATGTAGCACACACTTTAAAAAATTTTTTCCTGATTTCAAGATTAATATAGGTTCATTGTAAAATGTCTGGAAAATACAAAAAGTACAGGAAAAAATTTAGAACACCTGTGATTATATTACCTAGAGTACTACTAACAATAGCCAATGTATATAAATGAAACTGTAATTAACATGGAAGACTTATTATAATTTGATTTTACCACTTGGTAATTTATACATAAACATAAATATGTTAATAATTATAAATACTATATCATATCATTAAATATGTTCAACACATGTCTTTTGAAAACACAAGCTTTTTATACACCAAATATAAACTGTTCACTCCCTTATATTAAAAACATTTAGCTGGTTTCCAACTTTTGCCTATGTTCATTCACATAATCATGATTTACTGTGTGATCACTATTTCTTGGCTGGAAACTGTGCCAGACACTAGGGATACAACAATGAATAAATGGACTCTGCCCCCAAAAAATATAGAGTGCTATGAGGGCTTATTAAAAAGGGAGAGGAACCTTGAAGAGTCTGGGCAGTGAGGAAAGGTCTTCCAGAAAAAATTACATTTAAAGTGAGATCCAAAGGATGAGTGAAATGGATATAAAGTGTGCTGTAGGCAGAAGGAAAGTATACAGGAGGACTATGAAATAATAATTTTTAAAAAAGGACATAGCTAGAACAGAAAGAAACAAACCGAGAATTTAACACAGAAGGAAGGGCTTGGTAGACCAGTCCTTTCCAAAGCACAGAATTTGCACTACTGGTAATTAAGGTAACTAAATGGTATGTGAATAACCTTCAAAATTTTTAAATAGATATGTATTTTACTGTGAATTTAAAAAAATTTAGCACATTAAAACAGTTGTTTCACTGACATTAACTCAGAATGAGGATAAGCTTTAATATTCAAAGATAAATATTAAGTAAATAACAGTTCATACAGTACAAAGAAATGGCAAAAACTGTGCAAAATAGTAGAGAAGTGACTAGAACTGTAGATTGCATACACATGGCAAGAGAAATCAGCAAGGAGTTTTAAGCAGGGGATCGATAGGACCAGACATGCCACCAGTCTTCCTGCTATAGCGTGGTGAAACACTGGTGAAGAAGAAAGGGGGTACAAGCGAAATTTAGGACAAAAGTTACAGAGGTTGACACAAGTCCAAGTGAGAAACAATGGTAATGCCTGGAAAAGATCATGGTCGTGGGACTGGAAGGAAGCAGGGATGCTTAAAATGTATTAAAAAGGGAATGTCAGTAAAGAACAGAAAGAAAATACTGCATAAATAACAACACTATGTTTCTGATGCTGTGTTATTCAGCACAATAAAATACCTCTTTATACTTTTACTGCAGATTGTAACTTTATTAGAATAAAGTGAGCTCATTTAATGCTCTCAGCCTTGATATTTCTTCGGCTCTGTGGACTATGCTTTCCTCTCATTTTTCTCCTCTCTAAGAACTGGGAGGCTTGTTTCTAATCACAGTGTTCCAATTTCTTTCAATTGATCATATGAAGCTTCATGATCCTTGACCATTAGGACAGACATTCTGTTCAGAGTATAAATCTGTCACAGTAATTGCTTGAATTGTTTGTTTTAAAATGCAAATAATAAAATCTTAAAAGAACCCACAAAACAACTCTTACACCCCATATTCTAAGCAATATGGATCTAGGACTCCACATGGAATCTTTAGAAGAAATGAATTCACTACAGAAAAACTTAAATTGGATCCACATTGTTATATTTTCTATGAGATTCAATGCTTCTCATTAAACAAGGTGAAATTTCACCTAGTTAAAATTTATAAACTGGGACTTGTAGATTTCTACTCAAAGATAGAAAGCAAAAACAGTGTCGTTTCTATAGTATTTCTATTAAATAAAAATAAAGACTACATTCCCATTTTACTTTATTGATTTCAACAAATACTGTATTATTTTCTAAAATTATCAACCCTGGGCCTTTTTACCTTATTGATTTATTAAAGCAGTATTTCTTTTATTATCTAACACATGTACATAAAATAACGGTCGTAATGCAACTTAATGAGTTCTCACCTGTAAAGTTGAATATGTATATGGATAATGATAAGCAAAATAGCACACATCATCTTTATGTGGAAAACTGACAGTGAATGTAATTGTATAGTAGGATTTTCCCTTCTGCCCACCTGCAGCAATTGAACTTCTTGAGAAGTGATTTCTGCAATAGAAAAGCATAAAACATGTTATTCATCCACACAAAAATTCTGATTTTTTTCTTGCTATTTTATTAAACAGAATTTTAGGGGGGAAAAAAAGGAAAAACCATGGTTTGTAAAAAGTTTAATTTAAATATTCTTTAAAATTAGACTTGGTACTAATAAAGCAGTTAATTGCTATCAGCCAACATCATGACTTTCCATTTCTGGATTTACTAATTAAACAGAGCTCCTATTTTATGCATCAACAGAAGTTTTAGACCCTCCCATTTTTTGACAGGTTTACATACTGGATCAGGCAGTGGTCAGCAATGGCTACTACAACCACTGGATGAAAGGCTGACAGATCAGACAGTAATATCTGAGTTCACTGATCAGTTTTAAGATTACAAAAAAAAGAAATAACCAGAAATGATATGTTTCCTGATGTGATACAACAGGAATTTCCTGCACCCTCTGTGAAGTATTCTTGTCAGAAATGAAACCTGAAGTTGACCAAGCTTCTAAATATAACTATGAGTTTAGAAAACTGGTGAGAGAGAAGAATTTAGAAGAATTTATTAACACCACAGAGATGCAATCAGCAAAATCCAAAATACGGGAAATCTAGCATGACAAATGATCTACTTTCTTCAATAAATAAAGGAGAAATTTAGAAATCGAGAAAGAGGAAGCCTATAAAGTAAGAGACTTGAGGGATGTATCAGGAAAAATCAAATGCAATGTGTGGTCCTCTGGTTGGTCTGATTTAAACAAACCAACTATAAAGTTACATTTATGAGACAAGTAAGTCTGAACACTGACTGGATATTTTATCACATTTAGGAATTTTCTTTGCTGTGCTAACGGTATTGTGGATAGACTGCCTTAAATATGTATCTCTAAATGAAAAAGACTTTTGAAGTATTTATGGATAAAATGTTATCTGAAAATGCCTTTAAAGATTCAGGGTGGAGGTAGGGGTGAAAGCATAGCTAAAATAAAACCATGTGTTGATAATTATTGAAACTTAGAGATCAATACATGGGGCCTCATCATCCTATTATTCACTTTTGTAAATGGAGATTTTAATGATAAAAAAAATTTAAACTATATTACTTTCCAGACTTTAATATCACTGAGATATGATGACTTAATTTCTACCAACTTAATTTCTAAAATTCCAAATCACCTTAATTATTTAAGCCATGAACTGAAGAAAAGCCATGGCCTAGAGATTATTTACTCATGCACACAGACATTTAAGGCAGATCACATCCTTAGAACTACCCTGGGATCAGGCTTTCTAATGTAATCTTATGAGATTAAAGTTTGTAATTAATGAAAATAAAAGAACATCGACCTAAAATACAGTATAGTTTTCACTAACTTAGCCATTATATCAGAGAAGGAAATGGCAACCCACTCCGGTATTCTTGCCTAGAGAATCCCGTGGACAGAGGAGCCTGGTGGGCTGCTGTACATGGGGTCGCACAGAGTCGGACACGACTGAAGCGACTTAGCATGCATGCATGCATTGGAGAAGGAAATGGCAACCCACTCCAGTATTCTTGCCTGGAGAATCCCAGGGATGGAGGAGCCTGGTGGGCTGCCATCTACGGGGTCGCACAGAGTCAGACACGACTGAAGCGACTTAGCATCAGCAACAGCAACAGCCGCTATATCTTGAATAGATACTCAATGACAAGGTGCCAAGAGTTGAGGAAAATGCAAAAAAGGTACAGAAGTAGATCTTACCAACTCTTTTCCCCCAAAAGTTTAATATCTATTTGGGGGGGGGTATCCATGCCACCACATTACAGCTATGGATTTTGTAGGTTATATTTTCTCATATACTCATGGAAGGTAGTTTTATTCTCATTTTACAGATGAGACAAACAAGCAGCAGAGGACAATGCAAAAACAGCAGTTTTTAATCTCCTTATCTAGAGTTCAGGCTTGAGGAAAGCAACTGGAGTGGTGTGTGTTACACAGAAAGTGGTTAATAAATATCTGTTGGATTAGCCCGAATTCCAATTCCAGATTTAGAAGTAGCCAAAAGAAACAAATAAAAACTAAAGAAACAAAAATCCTTGCCATCACCTCTTACACAGAAAAGAAAAACAACCCGAGATGCTCACCATTCACTTTACAATGTAAAAAAGAAAAGCATTCATTGATGATTTTTATTGAGTAGAAGCATGAAGGAAATAATACTTTTTGAAAATCACTGTTTCACCCTTTAACATTTTAAATCAATCTGCCAAAATCTAACCAAGCACTTCCCAAACAATCACTGCTCCACTTCATCTTAAAAGGAAGATATAAATGATGAGGGTGTATTTTTATAATAGCCTAACATGAAAAGAAATATGAAAGTTATTCAGGTGAAAAAGAATTACTTATAACATTATACTTCTGTTCCTCATTTATTTCCTATTTATTTTGCTAAAAACAATGGGGGGAATTCTACTGAAATTAATTCCAAGGAACATTTCTTTCTTAGAAAGTAATAGCAGTTAATCTAGGTTTTTCCAAAGCCCTATCTAAATCATTAAAAACAGCTTAATTTTAGAAGTCTTCATCTACCTTATAAAATTATAAGAAAAGGAATACTAGCACTAGTTAAGCACAATATAAAATATTAAAAAGTCAAAATCCACTAAACAAATCTCAGGATTAAGATTAATAAGAGCAAAGAAACAGGGATGTTAAGTGCATTCAACAGCAGACAGGAGTTATCTTGAAATGTATTACATGCAGAAACAGTAAAAATGGAAAGCAAAGCATATGATAATCCTAGATTACTTAGTCATGAAGTTGAAGAATAATCCAATTATGCCACTAAAGCAATAAATGATTTCTAGCACTTTCTTCTAACTTGATAAACAGATTACCTGTTTGAAGTCAAAAGTTGAACTGGCTAAGCTGAAGCAACCTAACTATAGAATACATCTCCAACTAAAACACTGGAAGTTAAAATGAGGTAAACATTTGTGTGAAGAAAAAAATTATACTTAATATCATCAGAACAACAAAAAACCACTGTAAATTATTTCCTAGAGTTTCTAATTTCCATCTTCCTCAATGAGGTTCCCAAAGTTTTACAGCTATAAAAGAGCTGAGAACATATCTAAATGGGAGAAGCAAGACTGGACATATGTCTGTCTACAAAACATATTTTATTGCCACTAAATATACCCCCTAAAATGAATCTCAAATTATAAAAAAAGAAACCTTTTCTGTTAGAAGTAATACTAAAGCATATCATAAATCAGAGAACACAGTATGTCTTTTATCCCTAAACCAAAATAGGATAAACTAATATTTCCTTCTATAAACTGTTGTCCTATTATTGTCAGAATACTTACTTATAGTAACAAATGTCAGTCCCCACACGAATCCACCATGGTCTAGCATTTAACGCTTCCTGAACCGAATACATGAGTGGTTGCATACCTATGACAGAAAGAAAAAAGAGAGAAAACTCTTTTCAGAATTTTTGAGTTAAAAATTAATCCTGTCATTTTAGAAAGCACTAAACATTCATGAAAGTTAATGAATATACATTTTGGTATTTCAACATGTATTTTTAAAAAATCTGAGATGTGTGTGTATGTGTGTGTGTATGCACACTGTCAGGAATGTTTGACTCTTTGTGACCCCAGGCTCACCTGACTTCTCTGTCCATGGCATTTTCCAGGCAAGAATCCTGGAGTGGGTTGCCATTTCCTACTCCAGGGGATCTTCCCAACCCAGGGATTGAACCTGTATCTCCAGTGTCTCCTGCATTGGCAGGCAGATTCTTTACCACTGAGTCACCTGGGAAGCCTGAGATCTTTCACGAAGATCTAAGAACTGATGCTTTTGAACTGTGGTGTTGGAGAAGACTCTGGAGAGTCTCTTTGACTGCAAGGAGATCAAACCAGTCCATCCTGAAGGAAATCAGTCCTGAATAGTCATTGGAAGGACTGATGCTGAAGCTGAAACTCCAATCCTTTGGCCACCTGATGTGAAGAACCGACTCATCAGAAAAGACCCTGATGCTGGGAAAGATTGAAGGCAGGAGGAGAAGGGGATGACAGAGGATGAGATGGTTGGATGGCATCAGGAACTCAATGGACGTGAGTTTGAGCAAGCTCCGGGAGACAGTGATGGACAGGGAAGCCTGGAGTGCTGTGGTCCACGGGGTCACAAAGAGTTGGACATGACTGACTGAACTGAACTGAAATCAATGAATGATATGTTTTATTTCCAATTTAACTAAAATGAGGTTACAACCTCAATGAGTGAAAAGTCATTTAACATTCTGCTATTACCTTTTCTATATTAGATCTATTATATACAATATATCTAATTATATATATATACATATTACACAAAAAATTACATACACATAATATATAGTATATAAAAATTATACATATATTCCTCAGAACAAGTGAAAAAGAATAAAGTTAAGTATTATCCCCCCTCCAACTCTCCACAGATTCCCATTTACACCAAGGTAAGGAAAACAATGCCATTGAACTGGCATGACTGTTTTCTTCCAAAACAACAGGTGTTTACACCATGCAGAAGGCGGGAAGGGAGGAGGAGGAGGGATGGTTAGCAAAAGCAGGATTAAATATATACTATATTTTCTTAGGTAGTTTTAGAAATATACTTTCACATACACTTTAAAATCATTTTAAAGGTTTCCAGGTTTCCAACTGGAATTAATGAAATTTATATGCTAATTTTGGAAAGGTTCACAATTTTTATTGAGATCTGGCTCAACTTTTCTTAAATTATAACCTAAAGATACAATCACCTTTTTCATTTTTATGCTACAGAATCATTATCTTAAACTTACCTCTGAGTATTTTTATTAGTCTTCAGTAGTTTCTTGGGTTCTCTAAGCACGTAAATCATATCACTGGCAATTTTAAAAATTTTATCTCCTCTTTTACTATTTGCAACAGTTACTTTACTTTCTACTTTTATTATATTTCAAGAAATGAAACAATCACAAAGACTATTCCGAATACAGTGGTAAGAACAAAGCTATCCTGCTTATAATTTAAATAAAAATATCTTGCCATAAGATACAATATTTGCCAATTGTTTTTGTTAATAAGTCTTTATCTTATTTAAACAAAGAGCTAATACTGAATAGTTCCTATGTGCCAGATACTTCTCTAAGTATTTTTATACCTTTTAAGTCACTAAATCCTCACAACAACCCTCTGTGGTAGGTGCTAGATTTCTTTCCACAACTGGAGCAGTTTCCCCCATACTTCTTATTAGACTTAAGAGTTTTTAATTATTTCATTAAATGATTTTTCAGCATCCACAAACAGAATCACATGGCTTTTCTCCTTTAGTCTGTTGATGTCATAAATTGTGTAAATATGTTTACTATTGTGAATTATCCTTGCATTCCAAGAAAAATCTTTTCTCTTACTGCTATATGATGAAATTAGCTAGATTTCACTTAGAATTTTTGCATCTAAAACTTGGTCTTTCAAAAAAAAATTACCTTTACCAAGTATTGATGTAATATTACACTAGCTCAAGAAAAACATATTTAAAAGGTATCCGTCATTTATTAGAATAAGAGAAAAATCTATTTTTAGAAGTGAATACAAAATCAGTTGGAATATCTTCCTGATATGGTGACTAATAAATACATTTTTAATTTCCTTTTCAACAGCTATAGTCTGTTCAGTGTCTCTACTTTTTTCAATCAGTTTCAGTATTTCTGTTTTGTTCTATTTGTCCTATTTGTTCTATTTCTATCTCATTTTCAGCATTTTTTTAAATTCTCTTACTTTCTTTTGGTTTTATTTTTTGTTTTTCTAGTATTTTGAGTATTTTTAATACTTTTAATTAATACTCAAAATATCTTGAATACATTTTCAGTACTTGAGTAGTAACTTATTTTCAGTCTTTTTTATTTTAAATAATGCAGTTATTAAAGGCATTCAGTTTTCCTCCAAAGAGCAGTTTAGCTATGTCCCATAAGGCTAAAAAGAGTCCTCCTTTGCTGTACTTTCTAGATCAGAGCCATCCAACTGAACCTTCTGCCAGGATGGAAATGTTCCATACCTGCACTGTCCAGTGTGGGGGCCACTAGCCTGTGTGGCTACTGAGCACGGCAAATAAGCCTATTGCCTCTTAAGAACTGAATTTTAAATTCTTACAACAACTGTCTTTTAATCATGCTGTATTTCTTGGAGCTTTTGCTCTAGCTATGTGAGTGCCATGTGGTTATGGTTACTGTATTGTATAAAGGTTAGTTTTCTGTACGGCAAATGAAACCACCAACAAAATGAAATGGCATCCTAACAAATGGGAGAAAATATCTGCAAATCCTAAATCAGACAAAGGGTTAACACCCAAAATAAATGAAGAACTCCTACAACTCGAGAGCAAAAAACACACAAACTGAAAAGTGGACAAAGGATCTGAATGGACATTTTTCCAAAGATATACATATGGCCAACAGGTAAAAGGAAAGGTACTCAACATCACTAATCATCTGCAAAATGCAAGTCAAAACCACAGTGAGATTTCACCTCACACCTGCTTGAATGGCTGTTATCAAAAGGACAAAGAAGTGTTGGTGAAAATGTAGAGAAAAGAGAACCAACCCTTGCACATCACTGGTGGGACTGTACATTGGTGCACTCACTGTGGAAAACAGTATGGCAGTTCCTCAAAAAAGGAAAAAAAGAACACTAGCATTTGATCCAGCATTTCCACTTCTGGGTATTCTTAAAAAACTAATTCAAAAAGACATACACAACTCCCTATTGTGTATAGGTAATGCATCATTACCTACAGGAGCCAACACATGGAAGGAACTTAAATGTCCACTGACGAATGAATGGATAAAGTTCAGTTTAGTTCAATTGCTCAGTCATGTCTGACTCTGCGACCGCCATGGACTACAGCTTGCCAGGCTTTCCTGTCCGTCAACAACTCCCAGAGCTTGCTCAAATTCATGTCCATTGAGTTGGTGATGCCATCCAACCATCTCATCCTCTGTCATCCCCTTATCCTCCTGCCTTCAATCATCCTCGGCATAAGGGTCTTTTCTAATGAGTCGGTTCTTTGCATCAGGTGGCTAAAGTATTGGAATTTCAGCTTCAGCATCAGTCCTTCCAATAACTATTCAGGACTAATTTCCTTCAGGATGGACTGGTTTGATCTCCTTGCAGTCAAAGAGACTCTCAAGAGTCTTCTCCAACACCACAGTTCAAAAGCATCAATTCTTTGGCACCCATCTTTCATTATAGTCCAATTCTCACATACATACATGACTAATGGAAAAACCATAGCTTTGACTAGATGGACCTTTGTCAGCAAAGTATGTCTCTGCTTTTTAATATGCTGCCTAGAAGATGTGGTATGTATAAAATGCATGACCTGGTGTGTACACATGTGTGAGCACAATGGAGTATTATTTAGCCATAAAAAAGGAAATTTTGCTATTTGTAACAATGTGGATAGACCTTGAGGACGTTATGTTAATAACTGAAATAGGTAAAAAAAGAAAGGCAAATACTGTATGATCTTACCTATGTATGGAAGCTTTAAAAAAAAAAACTCATAGAGGACACAATAGAGGCTTCCATAGGCAGGGGGTGGAGGGGTTTGTGAAAGTGTCACGAAGTATGAACTTCCAGTTACAAAATAAGTAAGTCATGGTGATATAGTGTAACTAGACTTACTGTGGTGATCACTTTACAATATATACACGCTGAATCATTATGTTACACACCTAAAACACGGTCTACATGCCAATTATATCTCAATGGAAAATGAAGGTTTGGGGTTATAATAGCATCTTCAAGGACTGCAACTTGTAAATACACAATATCTTGTGCTTTTAACCCTGAAGTATTCTTTGTCAGACATTAATACTACCACATTTCCTTTATTTGCATTTACCTATTAAACCTCTGCCCAATCATTCATATCAGCTTTATCATTAATATACAAATATTAATTAAAAGATTGAGGGCATGAAGAGAAGGGGGAGACAGAGGATGAGATGGCTGGACAGCATCAGTGACTCAATGGACATGAGTCTGAGCAAACTCCAAGAGATAGTGAAGGACAGGGAAGCCTGGTGTGCTGCAGTCCATGGGATCGCAAAAAGTAGGACATGACTTACCACCTGAACAATAACAACAATATACACATACACACATATTCTCCCCATCTTGCAAAGTGTATAATTTTCATTTTCTGATTTTTGAGGTCATTTTGACTTATAGTTTAATAATGACAGATATACATTTAATTTCATTCCTTCTCCCCTTCCATTTTATTTTCTTTCTACTATTCACTAAATTTTTTTTCCTTGTTTACACCTTCTTATTTTACTTACTTGGTTACATTTTCCACATTTTCTTTTCTTCTTCTGTCATTTGGAAGCTTTCTATTGTGCTTTTTCAACTCCATTTCTC